TGAACATTGTTATCATGATTCAACCTTTTTAGTATTCCTGTGTATAAAGGAACATTTGTCGCTATAGTAGGTTATGTTTACGTCCGGGTTATTCCCATCTGATCCTCAACAACTGATCCTCCGTCAGTTTTAAATTCCAACTGATCCACTCTATATTTTGCTTTAAACGGATTCCCTCATTGTATTTGTAAGGTCAAGGGAAACAGAAGTTTTAAAATCAATTATATTGAGCAATAAAATTGTGATCAAATGTTGTCAAATCAATTTTTTTTGTGACAGGTCATTAATATTGACATATTGCTAATCATAAGTAACTAAATAAAAAAAAATCAATACATTAAAAATCAAAAGTTGATCAGTGATGTATTTTGCGGGTTTATTAACTGTAATTTATATTCAATAGAGCTTTTGAAAGCTTTTCTCGTTGCCTGTATCACAGTACACCAAAAATAAGCTTATAAGTACCAGGTTATCGGGTGTGAATAAAATAGTAATTATTTATTCTTGATCCCCTGGTGGGGACCAAATGGGAATAATCCTCTCTTTCCGGATATCTTACTTCTAAGGATATTTCGATAAGTGCCCGAAGGAAGACACTTTTATCTACGGCACTGACCTATAAGTACATTCAAGCACTTATCTCGTTCTAGAACACGAATAGCTTCACGCAAAGAGAAATTCTTAAAAGGAATACAATAGTTTCTACCTACGTCCGGAGACCCATTTAGCTCTTAAGGAGAGGCTATTCAGACGTCCATTATGCAGCAGCATTTAGATACTGGTTATGACGTGCCGTCAACGTGTTGTCTAGCGTGTTGTCACAAAACGGATCTATCTTCTAATGATGGCGACGTGATATTTAATCGAGAATTTTGATTAAATTTTGGTTTAAAGTATATTTTTCGCGCGTAAATATGCGAAAAAAAGTTTAATGGGGCGTTCGAGATTGGGCGCGCAAACGTGTGTCTTGTGTTGGATACATACAACACAAGAGACTATGTAACGCGAAAGTGTAGACGCGAAAACATTGAACGCATCGAACGCAGCAACGTTGCGAATTTGTGGCTTTAAATCTTTGCAATTTAAGGTGTTATTTGGATCTGAACCTGGATTCATGAGGCGTGGTGGGAACTGCCAATTAATTTAATTTCGATTTTTTACAATATAGATTGAGAAAGTTTAAAAAAAAGTCAATTCCACAATATTTTTTTTAATTTGTTTGGATGTATGTTACGCGATAACTTTGGCATTTGTGAATCGATTTTGATGATTCTTTCTTTTGTTGGAAAGGGGGCACTTCAGTAGTGGACCCATTTAATTTGAAGAAAATATGCCACCTCTAAACGTGGCACTTTCCGGTAACCGAATTCAATGAAAGTTGGAAAATAGATGTAATTCCACGTACTTTTGAGGTCGGTTTTTTTATTCGGTACTCTGTACTGATATTACTGTAAGTCGATGTTAATTTACGTAATTGTTACATTATCTTATTTAATTTATACATTACACAGCAGAAAAAACGACCAACATTTAATTTCAATTTATTTTAAAGGTGGAATATTCAATCGAGAGAAATACTACATGGTACTAAATACACTTAAATGTTTTTCCCAAACTTATCAGGCTATTAATCACTTGCGCAAATGCCGCTTGGAGTCGTTGATACGTGAATATCAAACTTTTCTGCCAAACGGTTTTTCCGTTACTGTGATCAACATCGGGCTGTTACGGACTGTTTTGATAATGGCTCAATTTTAATTTCAGGTATGTTAAATATGGTTAATCACTAACAAAACGACATATCCAATGAACACTACGTTAACTTATTTTTTTTACTTGTACTGTTTTTTTATTAATCGACTTCAAATAAAGGAGGAGGAGACTTATGTCTCAGAGTGACGAGCGCAGTAGCAGTGCCGCTTAGATCTTTACTATTTAAAGCTCTGACTGGCATTACAACTGCTGTGGACAGGTGTGTCGCTTACCACCAGACGCACGACCTTTTTGTTCCTTCTCTTGGTGCCATAATAAAAAAAGAAAAAAACTGTACGGCAAAAATGTTAACAATAACTGGAGGCGAAAATAAATCTTAAGAAAACTGATCTTCGCTTCACTAGGATTATATTGCGCTAACTATTATTTCGTATTTTAAATATTGTATTAACTTATTAGCTTCAACAAACAAAATTTTGTCAATCTCCCACCATCCACTCAAAATCCGACAAAAACGTGAAAGGGTTGCAACCCTAACAAGCCGTGATCAGGTTCACAGCATTAAAACAGAAAACTTCCGGTCCACAAGTTTACTTAATGTCTGGTTAAGAGAAACGATAACAAACAATTAAGGAGTAAGGCGTAAGAAGTGAGGGTAAAGCTATATATAGAAAAACACATTAATATAAAAAAAAACACTCCCTAACTTGATGGATATAAAGAGTTACCAAGTAGACACTTACCCCTAAAAGGGCCGAGTTATACTGAATTACAGATACGTATTCATAGGTACAAGATAAGGCTGTAGACTGTTATGCTCTTATTACAATTGATATATGATTTAGATTATATTATAATGATTATAACTTAGTAAAAAAATCAAAATTAGACGATTGAATTTAAACAGCTCCGTCCGCTGTCGCGATCGAGCAGGGAATGACGATGGAACGACACTAGAATGTGAGGCGAAATAATGGAACAATTCAAAATTTGAATTTAAATACGAGTATGAGAATAAAATAAGAGGATGACGATGCAAGGAGGTCACCGTCACGTAAACGTAACTAAAATATTATTACATACACTTACAATGCTTGTTATACTATATAACATAGCAATAGCGTAATCAAGCGCAAACTATATTTCATCAATAAATCAACGAACAGATATTTGAAAGTGTTACACGCTAAATTGTTTTAACGAATGAACACGCTATAATTATTTTCGCAAAGAAGACGGCGCCATCTATCTAATGTTAAGTGAGATAGCCAAGGATTAATTTGCTTCCATCCTATGCTACGTTACGTATAGCAATCGACGCACTGAAACGTTGTAAAATCATGCCGTTAGATGGCACTTGTTTCAATTAACTAACCTTACTTCAATAGAAAAAGTCAAGTATTAAAATTTTAGCAGTTTTTTTCTATCACATATAATTGCTATGGTTATTATTATTGTAAAATTTAACATTATATTTTGAGCTATATATCTATTGTATTAACCATCTTTAGTGCGAAACGCACTTACTATCGCTTCGACAGTTGTACTTCTAACTTCCATAATCTCTTCTATCTATAACAATCGAAGAACCTTTTCTAGTTCCGATCATAACAGACCTAGAACATCAACTACTTTCTAAACTTTTTTCTAAATTCACTACCATTAATAAAGTAATTAGTAACAGTAGAGCTACTTGAGAAAGAGCTCGTTCAGGGAAGGACTGTCACTTAACCTATTTCTGCCGCCAAGTCGTGATGTGGGCATTATCGTGTTCCGGTTTTGAAGGGTAAGAATTACAGACACATGGGACTTGTCAACTTACGTCTCAGGGTGACGGGCGCAGTGGCAGTGCCCCTAAGATCTTTGCGGCACTGTAACTGATATGGACAGGCGGACGTGTCGCTTACCAATAGCTGTCGCTTACCAATCATGAAAAAAGTGTCCGTCAAGACGAAAAACACCGTTGTTGGCATATTCTAAGCGCCTGAGTAAGTATTATTAGCAATTACACGGAGAAGATAAACTGTATTTTTAGAAGATAACTTTTGCGAAGGCGTCAGAATGGCTGGCCACTTTATTTCTTTAATATTTTCGTTACCGCTAAGGTAGAAAATGTGTCAATATAGGTACTAAGTAGGTAGTAAATAATGAGCACAGTTTGATTTGTATATCTCATTTGGTCGAGCCATCCCGACGGACACTGAAAAAAACGATTGAAAATTAAAGAACAATATACACGGCCACGTGTTTTTCCCTAGATCCCTTGCCTGAACTATGTATTAAATATCAGTCCATTGCTGGACTCTCCAAAAAAGTAGGATTTGAATTTTAAATTGACCCAATTCACCACGTGGACAGTTTTCTTGGATACATCCCATAGTCATACGATAACCACGGATCGTTTATAAGTCCTATTCGTGACTGGAAGGGTGTCGTACAACAATAAAATAAGTCAATAACAATTATTGCCTTACTGTCGGGCTTAATTTGGTTAAATAACCAGTTTATATTGAGCCTTACTCTTGACGATATCCCGTATCAAGCAGGGAATTATAACCACTTTTGGTTATAATTCCCTGCTTGATAAATCCCCCTTTCATTTACTATTTATGTATATAGAATAATAATTAGTACGCAGCAGTACATAGTTATTGGACTAATAATTTCATAAATCAATTATTTACATAGACAACTAACTCTAACAATCTCAGTACACAGTACCAAAATACCGACCTTAAAAGTCAGTCATCCCCTAGTTTGCCACCCTTAATTATTGTATGCATAAATATTTTCTTCTTTAAATGGGACCAATACCCTCTTTCCAACCAAAGAATAATCGTTAAAATCGGTTCACAAAGGCCGGAGTTATCGCGTACTTAAAAAAATGCAGACGAATTGAAAACCTGTTCCTTTTTTTGAAGTCGGTTAAAAAGGGTTGTCTTGTTAATATATTTATGTTCAATAAATTACAATACATATTCGTAATCTTATAACAAAATGATGAATCAAAGAAACAGTGGGAAATGAATAAACAATACAATTGATAATATGAAATCGACAACCGCCGGTTTCGGCAAACCGGACACAGTCACCGGTTGCCCCAATCGTAATTTGTATGAAAATAGATTATATTCCCTTCTAGTTGGCAGTTGCTAGTATCCAACACAAGATACGCGTTGCGCAGCAAGGCAAGGCGAGTGACATCACCCCAGTCAGAAAAGGACAGGTGACAGTCGCGCAACTAACGAAAGAAAGGGACCGAGCGACTTTTTGTTGCCCCGCGTCCAGTCTACCGATAAACCACATTCAAACACCACGCGTCTAATTCTTAATTCAAATAATTAAAAATTGTACCAATAACAATGACTTTAGCACGCGAAGATATTAACAACGATGTTCTTATACGCGAAATGGAGATTCGTCCCGCGTTGTACGATAAACAATTGAAGGATTACAACGATTTGCCCCTCAAGAAATGTTTATGGGAACAAATCGCTGCCAAACTGTTCCCTATTACCTGGCCACAAATGACAGTTGACCAACGAGATAAAGCTGGTAAGTCAAAATGTTGTTTCTAAGATATTTAGAATGGAGATATTGTGTTGTTTTCCGAATTTGGTCGGATTGTTGCAGCGTGACTGCTTTGTCGTGCTAGAGTTGGTGGGAAGGAATTTTGTTCGTATCGATAAATTTACATCGATACAAAAACTTTATGTAATATACATTCGCTGCAGGCTGCAGTAATATTATCTTATATAATATTTTTATGTTTGAGAAATAATAATTAATGATGTGTTCTCTTTTTTAAGTGCCATTTAATTAATAATATTTATAATTCGCATATTTTACCTTAGGTACACCTGTTATTTGTTGAATTACAATTAGGCTATAATATCGTCAGTTGAACACAAGCGGGTTGAATATACTACTTGTTTAACTAAATACAGTATGTTTTTGAACTATAAATTATGACTTAAACATTCGCATAGCTATCTACGTTTAACTAGAGGAGTTAAAGGTTAATTTTTGTTTTTCTCTTGTATATTCAGTGTATTTTTTTCGTTTTTGACATCACATAATTCCTGTTAATATTACGATTTGAAAGTTATTACGTTTCAATTTGCTAAAACATGGAAAAGGACGAGGTGATATCGATATTGTTGTCATTCACAAATCTGAACATTCAACTCTAGCTCATTTAAAATGGCGTTGCCAGTGTTCGAGCACAGTCGGGCAACTTCGTTGATCATCGTTGGTTATCACAAGAGACGCGCGATCTCGAGCGAGCGACCAACGAGAATTGAGTCTAAAGACTTGTTTTCATTATTCTTACTTTGATATTGTTTAGGTCTTTCGACATTGTCATTTAAATAAATAATTATTACTGTTTGCTATGTCATTTGTAAAAGGATAAAGGGTGCAAACGAATTATAATTGCCTCATTATAATGACTTTGAACTAAGATAATTGCAATTAATCTGTTTTAGTTTTTAGAGAAATTTAAGAAACAAGTTGATTAATAAACAGTCGCTATTAATAACAAAACTATTTAGAAGAAAAATCCTCTAAATGTTATCTTTTTAAACCTTTCAACTATCACTGGACACTTCACAAATAGAATGAAAAAGAATGTGAACGAAGTACGGTATTAATTAATTTCTTTCATATATACACGACGATTGGGTTTGGACAGAACTATAAATTCATTTCTTTGGTACGGGATAGTAAAATTTTAAAATCGCTTAATCTTTTCGATATATTTTAAATTGATGCTTCCAATATTGTCCGAGTCTGATTAAATAGCACCTTGTATTTTTAAATTAGGGATCCTATGATGACCTCAGTGGCCCAACGACTTGCACTGCGGGCGATTGGTGTTCGTGGACCATGACCTTACTTAACACTAGATTTGTACCTTTGAATTAATTATTTATTATCCGAAAAGTAAGTATACTTTAACTTTCACGGAACTAGTCAGTAGTATGAAGCAATAAAATAGAATCACGTTAATTTAAATGTAAATGTCAAAGTTCCTGTTATCTGCTATTATTTGATAGAAGCCGTCGTTACCATAGACGAAAGATGGCATCTATAAATTATGGAAGTGAAACTATTTTCAAACAAACCAAAGTTTTAGGTCCCATGGTTACAGTTACGTCTTAAAATATTAATGCAAAACACCCTATTTTCACTATAGTTACAAAAGTTATTGCCATATTTTAATTTTCCAAAGAACATTCCAATTTATGTTTTAGAAATTATTTTCTTTTAACAATATTCCCTTTACACAGTCACCGCGCGTGATTAGGAGGGTACAGTAGGCTTAGCATGAGCATGAGAAAGTTAAATTTTCTCCCAAAAATGACGTCACTAAACTCCGTCCAACCATTTTTTTTTCTTCTTTCCATAAAGGAAAAGGCAAAGGTTTTACACCATACAGCCAAGTCTTGGTACATTATTCTTTTTTAGTACATGAAGTTGAATTATGTTTCTGTAAATATGGCCGCCACAAAGAGGATAGGCAATTTGAGGCGGCGTGCTTGGATTGACTCGGGATTCCTTAGAACGGACCGATACGGGTATTTTAGTTCGAGATTCGTATAATTTCGCGTTTTAATCTTCGATTAAGGCACAATAGCACTATCCTATTCCACTTTAAACTAGATTTCACAAAATAATTGAAAGTCAAAATAAAAACGACACTTTTCCCTCCAAAAGGTCCAGAGCGAATTCCGTAATTCTTGACATACAACCATAGACAAAAAATGCAATACTTCCTGAACTTTTTATTTTTTAATTTTAGTAAAGCGACGTGCTTTTTAGCTCATAAATTTATTGAGCCAACAAATTATGTAACGAAGATTATTCAACTTGATACATTTTGTTACCTGTCTAAATAATTATAAATAATTATAATAAATTCTTATAGTTTATTATAATGAATCGTCGGATTCTTCTCCATCTGAACGGGAATCGTCACTTGAATACTCCTTAACATTGATTATTAATTCTTGAGTACACAAATTGTCAAACGCATCACGATCCCAATTACACAATGTCTTATTTTTTTAAAACTTCGTCATTAATAAAATCGATTGTTATACAAAATCGTATCGGAAACGCATTGGGCCATCGCTAATTGATTAGAAATCGAGCTATCAAAAGTAAATAAATGGTTCGACGGAGTATACGAATTATCTCTAACCCGCCTCTACAGGCGCGAGCATAAGTGCTATGAAGTTTAAGTTGCCGCGCATGCAAATGTCAAATGAAGAGAATTTCTCTCTAACCATAGCAGGATAACCAGATTTTGTATACTTTTGACAGATCATCGTAACGAAATATCTCTATCACCCTTGAGGCAGAAGACAAGCGATGCTTTTAATTTAAATACTATATTATTACCTTCCTAATTCGTGATTTAAATTTTATAATAATTTTATGCCCTGAAAATACTTCGAGCCTATCGTAATTAATTATTAAGTTTTTGCAAGGAAAACTGGCACGAAAGAACCGAAGAACGGCCGCGAACTGCTTCATCTCCCTGAGGCCGAGTTCTTCAGTCATTTCGAGGTGTCCTGTGAATTAATAGATTATTTTGTGCCAGGAGCTAGATTCCCAAAACGGCCACAGGTAAATCTGTGAGGTTCAAAGTAAGTGAAGGAAAGGAAGACGCGTTTATTACCCAGAATTTCATCCTTAAATTTCGGTGATAAACTTCGTGAACATTTGAAAGAACAGACAAATAATAAAAACAAGTTGCTTTGTTTTTGTTTTTTGCTATTTCCTTTTTCGTCAAAATGCGATTTCGACTCAATAAAAATATCAATATGATTTGCGTAACAAAGATAGCTATGTTGCCTTAAGGCCACCCTAGGCCCGGGCCAAATTTTAGGGGCCGCCAATAATAACAAGAAAAACTCAAAGTACCTAAATATTTTAAAGGCTCACGCACATTATGACGGGCCGCACTGCACCGCATCGTAAAACAATAATCTTTCCAATATCACTTTCGTACATTTTATTTATAATTATAGATATGTCTACCAGTAGGTATATGAGTGCTGAGAAAGGGGCGGCTGGTACTGACTACATGGCCTGGGGCCTAGGCCGGCCAAGACTGCAAATCCGCCACTGTACTTTAGACCAAGATCATTAGTCCATGTACGCATCGAGCACAAGAAGGTGTCAATGGTTTTATTACTCTATTGTAATAGAAAGGATAAGAATGGTTACATACGGCGACGTTACATCTACAAATACATGTATACATATGTATATATGTATACATATATATAGATTTGGCTACTTTCGAGGGAGTGTTCGGCTAGTAATTGGATTTAGCTTCATCTATCCTTTGTATGTACTCGTATACGTGATTTTAACCAACATTTTTCATATCGAGTTCTTAGGTTTTCGCGATTGTTACACGTAGGAAAAGAAACTATTTTTCCGGATTTAAATCGCGTATATTTGTTTTTTCAAACAAACCGACGTTTCGGGCCCTTTACAGGTCCCATGGTCACGGTTGACTGAGGTGGTACAGTCTTCAACCAGTTATGTCTAATACTGATGCAAATCACCCTATATATTTTTTCACTATAGTTACAATAGTCATTAGTTAAATACCTTATTTTTAATTTTACAAAGAAAGCATTCCAATTTACGCTACATTAAGTTTTACAAATCGACACATCCGTAGAACAAAGGTCTATGTGCAAGGCTACTTATTCTCAGGACATAGTACATTTCGTTCGTTCTTCTTCGCTGTGAATGTCAGATCGACTATTGTTCAATTTTATAATTTCCGAAACGAAACAAGATATATAAATTCTCAAAACACCTTTACGTAGGCCTTAAGTTTGAATAATGAAATTATTCTGTAACGTACTTATTCTCTTTTCGCTATATAATCACATCGGACTCTGTTCTTCGGATGAGTCGAAATTATTTATTGAATGAATTTTTATTAAGTTCAATTTATTATTAATTAATAATAGAAATTAGAATAAACTAAAACATATTAATTAGTACTGCAGTCTTATGTCTGTTTGGGATTTTTCATTAGAGGAAATACTGGATCCCAAACTGGTGGTACGGAGAAACCATCTTCCCTGTTGAAATTAGGATGTTTTTTAATTTCAATGGCCTCTCGCAGCATCCTGGGTAGATAACGGACTTCTTCTGCAAGGACCTGGGGTTTGTCAAATTTTATTGAATGTGTAGGTTTATCCATGACATGCTCGCAGACTGCAGACTTGTTTACGCGACGGTGTTTGACATCAGCTATATGTTCTTTGACGCGGGTACAAATACTTCGCTTTGTTTGTCCAATATAAGAGAGACCGCACTCACAGTCAAGCTTGTAAACTCCTGCATCCTGTAAGGGGATTGAAGACTGTACCACCTCAGTCAACCGTGACCATGGGACCTGTAAAGGGCCCGAAACGTCGGTTTGTTTGAAAAAACAAATATACGCAACATTTTGTATTTTTTATGTGTACTGTTCATCCCTATCCAGACTTCAAATCAGATTGTTCTAAATTGCTATGTTG